CGGCCGGGAAGGGGCCGCTTCCGGGTCAAGGCACCGGATAAGTGTGAGCAGCGCGGGACTGCATTACCCAGAATGCCCCGCGCGGAGCCCGGAGGCAGGGACGCGGGCGGCGCGTTGCATGCTGGGGCTCGTAGTTCCTTCCCCCTCCCCGCCGTACTTCGGCACCCCTTGGAGCAGCGCCCTCCTCACCGCCCCCAGCATTGGGCGCCAGGCCCTGTATAGCAGAAGCACCCCAGTGTTACCAGGCGTACGATAATGATCGGTTTTGTACAATCATTTCAGCCCTTGTGCAGTGTACAATCAGTAATAGTAAAAATGTTCAAAATGTAGGACGATTATTGAGGCAACTAATTGATGCAGCATATGCACCAAGTCATGCTCAGGAAGTCTTAGCTGAGTCGGGGCTGCTGTCGACACTCTCTTCTGGCTGTTTGCCTTGAAAAAAAGAAATGTTTCAACTTTGATGATCCAGGTCTCTCTCACTCACAGCAGTTTAACAGTGAGCAATAGTAAGTGAAGAAGAAGAGTTATTTGCATACTTATTTCATTATTTTTCAGTGTACGATAGTTTTTCAGCAAATACAATCATTTTGAGCTCCCAATACGATAATTTCATATTGAACACCTGGCAATGCTGAGGCACCTGCTGTTGTGGCCCTGCTGCCTGAGGGCCCCCTGCCCACTGCCCCTTAGTTCAGATTTTCTTTCTTCTCACCAAGCAGATGCGGCTGTTGAGGCTGGGACAGCTCAGGTTTGCCCGTCTGGCCCATCTCGGGGTCCTGCTCCTGCACCAGTGAGCAGGGGACGGGGCAGCAGAGCCTGCGCACTGCCACTTCCGCTGCCACTGCAATGCAAGGTGGTGGTGGTGAGGGGAGGCTTCTATGCTACCTTTGTAATCCTTAAGTCCCAGGGAAGCTACAGCAGAAATAGGAGCTGGGCGGGAAAAATTATGCCAGATGTGTGAAGGTGGGGCAGGAAAAGGAGAGACATTTTGGCCTAGGGCTTTCTGTACCCTGAAGAAAGACCTGCAACTTCCGTGAATGGGTTTGTGGCTGTGGGATCAGACTCTTAAGTCA